AAGCGTTCCCCAGCCTCAGCCAGAGTTTCCTCTTCATCATTCTTGAACATCTTCGGCTTCCGACAGCTCTACTAGAGGCGATACGCTCTCTCTATGCGATTGCCACTGCCCTGGGCAGAACTGCGGGCGTCACTGAGGTCCTCTTCCGTATCTGGTGCGGCATCGTTCGAGGCTGCGCCTTATCTGGGAGCTTGTTCGCCGCAGCTACCTCGCCGATTCTGGAGGGCATCAGGCAGGGGATCGAACTCCGACAGCGAGGAGTCTTTCGAGCGTGTGCTGATGATATCGGGGGAGTGCTGTTCGATATGATCGATCTGAAACTCTTATCGCGTGCGATGGCGGTGGCAGCCAAGCTGGCCAGCTTGAAGCTCAAACCAGCTAAGTGTGTGATTGTTCCACTGGCAGGTCCATTCTCGGCCGAGCTGCAGCAGCGTGTGCATGTCTTGCTGCAACAACAGCTGTCGGACTGGTCATCCTTCAAAGTGGAGGCCACTTTGCTGTGCCTGGGGATATGGATGGGTCCAGCAGCATCGCTCCCTCAGTCGTGGTCGACGCCATGGGGTAAATACTGCGCTCGAGTCAGTGCCCTTGCCGCCTCTGCGGCGCCTGCGAGCTTGAATGGCATCAACTACACTACGAGCCCATCATGGGCTCTGTGGCACAATTCCTACCGCTCCCCGAGAAGCTGAAGAGTCAGGACATACATGTGCTCGTGAAGCTGCTGCGCTTCCCTGGTGGTGCCTTGCGGCAAGTCGACTATCATGCGCTTGGTGCTTGTGGTGGGCCTCGCCTTCGCAGCCTGGCCATCTCAGCGAAGTCCGCGCTTATTCGATCTGGGATTGCAGCGCATCCTGATCACGCATCGTATCTGGCATGCCTGAAAAGGGCATCATCGAGGTGGCAGATTGCAGCGCATCCTGCATCATGCAGCGCGTCTTGGCAGATCTTTGTGGTGGACTTTCGCCTTCTTTCTGGCAAGTACCGTCTTTCGTCGAGTTTCTGTCCGATGCTTGTAAGGTCTCAGCGTCATCAGGTGTTGTTGCCGTTCATCTTGCCATGTTCGAGGATGACTCAGCCGAAAAGCGTGCCCAGCGGATTGCGCACCAGGCTTCACCAACTGAGTATATAAGCGCACATCAGCCCTTGCAGTCCACCTGCGCATCGCCTTTGGCCACCACCTTCGTCAAACGGTGGACTAAATGGTATCCGCAGCTCGGCAACGAGATTAACGCGCTGGATTGGGACGCCCTGCGCAAGCAGATGACGACATGCCCCGTAGCTTGGGCCACCTGTATTATTCGAGCGTTTTGTGGCGGTTGGTTAACCCCGGCTCGCATTGCATCCGTGTCTGGTGTCAAGCCGTGCCTGTTTGGGTGCTGTGGCGAGCGGGATGACATGGCACACTATTGGGAATGTCGTGGGCTCGCATGGGGTCTTGCCATGGTTAAGTCAGGAGGGCGACGATACTTACCTTCACACGTTCTTGATCGATGGGGTCTTCGCGGCAGCTTCGGCGAGGATGTGATGAACACGCATCTTGCCACTATAGCATATCATGGTCTTCGGCATCTGCACCACGTGCTTCCCTATCAGTTGCTCACAGCGCTGAGAGGCGCAGTGCGGACACGTGCGCTGGCTTGGCCTTCGGCTGGGCGCGCCAGGATCACGCGCCGCCCTCCAGAGCCATCCGACCCGCTTCCTGTCATTTGTTTCGAACTACCATCGATCGAGCATGCTTGGTGGGATGATCTTCTCGGTATGTTGCCAATCGGACGCCGTTTCCTTCACGACACTCTACCACATCGCGTGCGTTATCCGGATGCCATTGGCGAGGTCAGGTTTTCTGCTATGCCGCCGGCTGGAGTCGGTCCTATCATGCTTCGGCGTTTGGCGCGATTTGCAGTTCTGCTGGAGTCTTGGGCGCGGAACTGGGGCCCCTCGCTCTTCTTGGAACCCGTCACCTGCAGCGGTTTCGACGACTGGATGTTCTGGGGTACTAAGTTTTCCAGCCGCGTGTTTCCAATCTGGGCTTTCTGTGGGCTGTTTGCTACCCCTGAAGGGACGGTGCAGGAGAGGCGCATTCTTGGATCCAGCATGTGCCATGCCGCGTGGCACAGTTCGACGGTGGGGAGAGCTCGGCTATACCATCACTTCTAAACAGCATGGGGCACGGTCGAATCCTCGCGGCTGTTGGCATTGAGGCAATTGTGCGGGCGAACATATACTCATACGTGGCTGGCCTCATCATCAGGTTTACTTTGCTGTGCACCCTGGCAACGGGGCGGGGCCGCCGACTTAACGCGTATGAATGAAGCTTAAAAAGGCGGACCTCCTTCGAATGCGCCAGGTATTTCCGTTTGGGCCTCCGTTGTCGCTCAACACGCACTCGCGCCTCCTGCCGCGCCTTGTGCCTGTGGAGGGCGACTGCGACGACGGCGACGCTCCGTACCTGCCCGACGAGGGCAACCGCAGCGTCGACACCGTCGGCTACCCTGAGCCCGCAGACCTGGACATGGAGCACATGGAGGCTACTGCTGGCAACGACACCGAGATGACGACGGATGAATATTCACATCATTTTGAGCCGATCTTGACAGGCGAGGAATTCGAAGCTCAAGTGCAGGCTGCCGTTCGTCGCTCGAGGGTGGACACAGGCGAGCCGTCTGACCCTACGGCCTCCTCTTCTAGGCTACCACCCGCTGCTCTTCTTTCCCCTGCGGAACCGCATGAGACAATCTCCTCCAGCAGCTCCGACGACGGCTTTAACGAGACGATGGCGGCGCACGGGCTTGGAGTCATCTATCCAGATGGGTCAGTTGGTGGTGTTGCGAGACGGACGATGTCAAGTCGTGCTTCGGGAGCCCCCCCTTCGGGGGCTTTGGCGGCTGCTACCTCGTCGGCTACGGCTACAGCGAGTGCACATTCCCTCAATGGTCTTCGGCGCTGGCGTGCTGCTGTTCGTGAGGCCCTGTTCGTCGCTCGCTCGGCCGCGGAATCCTCCAGAGCCGCTCTCAGACCGACAGATGGCGCACGCGGTGGGCTGCCTGTGCGAGAACTTCGACTTGTCGGACGAACAGCGGAGCCTGGTTACCTGGATGCTTCAGAACCCTGGTAGTGTACTGGGTGACGACGAAGGCGGCGGTCTTGACCTCGAGATGCTGGGTCGGACAGCGAGGGCGACAACCGATCTGGGTCAAGCCCTGTTCAGCCTTCTCAGCTGGGGACGCAAGGGGTGGGCGCTTCTCGCCCGCGTGTAAACTGCGTGGGCGCAAGGGGTGGGCGCTTCTCGCCCGCTTCTCGCAACGCGTGGGCGCTTCTCACCCATTGCGTCCGCGTCTCTTGGCCGACCAACCCTATGGGAGCAGCGCCGCTACCTGCCCAGACTCTCCCCTGTCACGGGCAACCTGATGATGTTGTCGATGCGGACGCCCTACCCTCTGGCTGTGCAGTTCATGGTGCTGACGTACCTCTCGATGATGTGGCTCCCGCTTCCTTCTCGCCGCCTGCGGTTGCGGCTTCTGCAGACAATGGCACATCGATATCTATGGAGAACGATGAGGACGTATTTGCTCTTCTATTGGAAGTGGAAGAAGATGAGGACAACGACTTCGCGGCGGCCCAGTCTGTGGTTATTGCATCTGCTGCTTCTCCTGAGGACCCAGGAGATCCTGATGACCAACATGCGGAGCTTTCTGCCCTGGTTCTTGCAGGTGCTGGTGATGCTCCCCCTGCGGGCGGCGACAGCGTCGACCCTCCTGCTGGCCCTGTTCCCGTTGCTGGGCCTCTTCTTCATGACGGCGCTGCCGTCGCTAGCTCGTCGCCCGGCGTCGCCAGCTTCCACCACGACGATTTCGGTGACCAGCTCGTCTCCACGGCGGAGGGCCTGAGGACAGGCCCCGCGCGGGCCGCGGGCGGGATGGGGACTCCCCTTGAGGCGTGGGCTCCTCCTCCTCCTCCTCCTCCTCCTCCTCCTCCTCCTCCCCCCCCTGCCTCCCGACAGGAGGGAAAGGATAAAGGGACGAGAGGCTTCCCTTCGACTTTAGCTGAGACGTTCCTTCTCCCTGTTCTTGCTCCTCTATTTCCTCGGGACTGGCGACGACGACGACGACGACGACGACGACGACGACGACGACGACGACGACTTCCACACGCCGAAGGGTCGGCGGGTGTTCGAGTCTCGGGGCCCTGGACCCCTCGGCCCAGATCATCCGCGACCAGAACTTTGCGGTAGCGGATTTCGGGCTCGCCGGCTTTTTGGTCGCGAGCGGAGGGGGTCGAGTTTCGGTGACGAAGCGACGGCGTGTCGGGGTCCAAGCGAAGGGTTTCTATGCCGTCGACGGCTCGCTTTGTACCCACATTCCTCGACTGGAGCCAGAGTTCCGGTCGCGACCGGTTCGTCCAGAGCCTTACTGAAAAGCTTCTCGGTAATGGATGACCTGGGGGCCCTTCCCCCGGGACTCGAGTAGAGGATCGACTACATAATCGATTTGCCCCAGATTTGATTTCCCGTCGAACCTACGACACATACCTACGATGCTCCGTTGAGGTGCCAACTATTCTACGTCATTTTTGTCATGGGTTCGACGAGAATTCAAGTTTGGGGTAAGTCGATTCTGCAGCCGATCCCATACTTGAGACAGTGGCTCCTCGTCCCAAGGAGGTTTTCTGACAGCCCCAGGGTCCGAGCCTGGCCTGCGCAGGCCGAACATATATAGAAAAATAGCCTCAGACTCGGTGCTTTCGATCCTCTGGAGGTCCAGGTGTGGCATCCGACATGCTCGCGCCGTAAAAGTCACGACGGAAGGTTTCTGGCCGTTTTCGGCCTTTGGGGGCCTTCGCCGGGTCCCAGGCCGGTCAAAAAACGACTCAGGGTGCAAAACGGGTCCCAGGGAGTCTGGAACCGGTCCCGTCCGGGGTTCCACATATGGGAAAATCAAAATTTCGCACGTCTGGGACAGAACCGCAGCCCCCGCATCTCAGGGTTGACAAACGCCTGGCAGGAGCGACGGCGGGCTGGGCCGTCGGCGCCGACGGTTCGTTGGACGCCAGGCCCCCCGGCGGAAAGGAGGGAGGAGGATGATGGAGGAGGAGGAGGAGGAAGATGGATGATGCTGATGATGATGCTGCTGATAATGAATCATGATGATGATGCTGATCCTGATGCTGATGCTGATGAGGATGAGGATGATAATACTGATGATGCTGATGCTGATGGTGCTGATAATGATGTTGCTGATGATGCTGATGATGCTGATGATGATGCTGATGCTGATGCTGATGCTGATGCTGATGCTGATGCTGCTGATGATGATGACGGTGATCATGATGCTGATGATGTTGACGCTGATTCTGGCGCTGCTGCTGCTGATGATGATCATCATCCTGGGGATGGTAATGGTGATGGTGATGATGATGACGATGATGATGATGATGATGATGATGATGATGATGATGGTTATGCTGATGATGGCGATGATGATGGTGCTGATGATGATGCTGATGATGCTGCTGATGCTGCTGCTGATGATGATTCATGATGATGATGCTAATGCTGATGCTGATGAGGATGAGGATGAGGATGATAATACTGATGATGCTGATGATGATGGGGCTGATGATGATGATGATGATGATGATGATCATGCTGATGATGATGCCGATGCTGATGCTGATGCTGCTGATGATGATGACGGTGATGATGATGCTGCTGATGTTGATGCTGACGCTGCTGCTGCTGATGATTATGATCATCCTGGGGATGGTGATGGTGATGATGATGCTGATGATGATGCTGCTGATGATGATGCTTATGATGCTGCTGATGATGATGATGATGATCATGATAATTCTGATGCTGCTGCTGATGATGATGATGCTGATGATGATGCTGCTGATGATGATGCTGATGATGATGATGATAATGATGATGATGATTCATGATGGTGATGCTGATCCTGATGCTGATGTTGATGAGGATAAGGATGAGGATGAGGCTGCTGATGATGATGATGCTGATAATGATGCTGATGCTGATGCTGATACTGCTGATGATGACGATGACGCTGTTGATGCTGCTGAGTTTGATGCTGATGCTGACGCTGCTGCTGATGATGAGGATGATCATCCTGGGGATGGTGATGGTGATGATGATCATGCTGCTGCTGATGATGACAATGATGACGATGATGATGCTGCTGATGATGAGGATGATGCTGATACTGATGATGCTGCGGATGATGATGATTCTTGATGATGATGCTGATCCTGATGCTGATGCTGATGCTGATGCTGATGAGGATGAGGATGAGGATGAAGATGAGGATATTGATGCTGATGCTGCTGCTGATGATGATGATGATGATGATGATGCTGATGTTGCTGATGATGCTGATGACGATTCTGGTGCTGATGCTGATGCTGATGCTGCTGATGATGATGATGACGATGATGATGCTGCTGATGCTGATGCTGATGCTGACACTGCTGCTGATGATGAGGATGATCATCCTGAGCATGGTGATGATGATGCTGATGCTGCTGATGATGATATTGATGGTCATGGTGATGATGGGGCTGATGGTGATGATGTTGCTGATGATGATGCTGCTGATGACGGTATATTTGCTGCTGCTGATAATGATGACGAGGATGATGGAGATAGTGGTGATGATGATGCAGATGATGCTGCTGCTGAGGATGATGCTGATTCTGCTGATGCTGACGTTGCCGATGCTGATGCTGATGCTGATAATGTTTATGCTGATGCTGGTGCGGATGACGAGGATGAGGATTAGGATGAGGATACTGATGATACTGATGATGCTGATGATGCTGCTGGTGATGATGATGATGCTGCTGCTGATGATGATGATGATGATGACGTTGACGATACTGATGCTGGTGGTGATGATGTTGCTGAGGATGCTGTCGGTGATACTGAACCTGATGATGATGATGATGATGATGATGATGACGATGCTGATGATGCTGATGCTGCTTATGATGGTGATGATGCTGCTGATGATGATGATGCTGATGATGATGCTGATGACGATGCTGATGATGCTGATGCTGCTTATGATGGTGATGATGCTGATGATGATGATGATGCTGATGATGATGATGACGTTGATGATGCTGATGCTGGTGGTGATGATGTTGTTGAGGATGCTGTCGGCGATACTGAACCTGATGATGATGATGATGATGCTGACGATGCTGATGATGCTGATGCTGCTTGTGATGGTGATGATTCTGATGATGATGATGATGCTGATGATGATGATGATGCTGATGCTGCTGCCGCTGCTGATGATGATGATACTGATGCTGTGGATAATGAGGCTGATGATGATAATGATGCTGCTGCTGATGATGATGATGCTGCTGCTGATGATGCTGATGCTGATGATGATGCTGATGATGATGCTGATGATGATGATGATGACGATGCCGATGTTGATGCTGCTGCTGCTGCTGATGATGCTGATGCTGATGATGCTGCTGCTTATGTTGATGCTGATGCTGACGCTGCTGCTGCTGCTGATGATGATGATCATCATCCTGGGGATGATGATGGTGATGGTGACGCTGCTGATGCTGATGCTGATTATGATGATGATGCTGATGATGATGATGATGAGGATGATGATGATGCTGATGATGATGATGATGATGATGATGATGATGATGATGATGGTGGTGATGATGATGTTGATACTCATGATAATGATTCTGATGAAGAAGATGAGGAGGAGGAGGCTGAGGGGGATGAGGAGGAGGAGGAGGAGGAGGAGGAGGAAAAAAAAGGGGGGAAGGAAAATGCGAGGAGACGGAGGGGGAGGAGGAGGATGAAGACGGAGAGGAGGAGGAGGAGGAGGAGGAGGGAGAGGATGGAGGAGGAGAGGAGGAGGGGAGGGACAGAGGGAGAGAGGGAGAGGATGAGAGGAGAGGGGGAGGAGGAGGAGGGGGAGGAGGAGGAGGAGGAGGAGGGGGGGGGAGGGAGGAGGAGAGAGGATGAGGGAGAGA